AAGTAATGATTAATTTACACTATTTTACATTTGTACAAGTTACACGGAACCCGATATGGTGATATGTCGCGATGGTAGATTTGCGCACCACATAGTAGCAAGTAATGTTTAATTACACTATACTAGTGACTCGAAACACGATCTTGGGATCGTCATGATGGTAGAATTACGCTCCACACAGTAGCAAGTAATGTTTAATTTCATACACTAGTGACTCGAAACACGATATGGTGATACGTCATGATTGTAGAATTACGCATCACACAGTAGCAATTAATGATTAATTACACTATGCTAGTCACATTGAACTCGATATGGTGATACGTCATGATGGTAAAATTACGCACCACACAGTAGCAAATAATGTATAATTTCACTATATAGTTACACGGAACACGATATGGTAATATGTGTGATGGTAGAATTACGCATCACACACTAGCATGAATGTTTAATTACACTGTACTAGTTACACGGAACACGATGTGGTGATACGTCATGGTGGTAGAATTACGCACCACACAGTAGCAAGTAATGATTAATTACACTATACTAGTTACAGGGAACACGATTTGGTGATACATCATAATAGTAGAATTACGCACCACACAGTAGCAAGTAATGTTTAATTACACTATACTAGTTACAGGGAACACGATTTGATGATACATCATGATCGTACAATTACGCACCACACAGTAACAAGTAATGTTTAATTATACTATACTAGTCACACCGAACACGATATGGTGATACCTCATGATGGTAGAATTACGCATCACACAGTAGCAAGTAATGCTTAATTATACTATAATAGTGACCCGCAACACGATTTGGTGATACGTCATGATCGTATAATTACGCACCACGCAGTAAAAAGTAATGATTAATTATACTATACATGTGTACTAGTTACACGCAACCCGATATGGTGATACGTCGTGATGGTAGAATTAAGCACCACACAGTAGCAAGTAATGTTTAATTACACTGTACTAGTTAGACGGAACACGATGTGGTGATACGTCAAGATCGTATAAATACGCACCACACAGTAGCAAGTAAAGTTTAATTACACTATACTAGTTACACGGAACACAATGTGGTGATATGTCATGATTGTAAAATTACGCACCACACAGGAGCAAGTAATGTTTAATTACACTATACTAGTCACACCGAACACGATATGGTGATACGTCATGATGGTAGAATTACGCACCACACAATAGCAAGTAATGTTTAATTACACTATACAAGTTACACGGAACACCATTTGGTGATACGTCATGATCGTGTTATTACGCACCACAAAGTAACAAGTAATGTTTAATTACACTATACATTTGTACTAGTTACATGGAACACAATGTGGTGTTACGTCATGATTTTAGAATTACGCACCACACAGTAGCTAGTATTGTTTAATTACACTACACTAGTGATACGGAACACGATGTGGTGATGCATCATGATCGTATAATTACGCACCACACAGTAGCAAGTAATGCTTAATTACACTTGTACTAGTGACACGGAACACGATGTGGTGATACGTCATGATGGTAGAATTACGCACCACACACTAGCAAGAAATGTTTAATTACACTATACATTTGTACAAGTTACACGTAACCCGATATGGTGATACGTCATGATGGTAGAATTACGCACCACACAGTAGCAAGTAATGATTAATTACACTATACTAGTTACAGGGAACACGATTTGGTGATACATCATGATCGTATAATTACGCACCACACAGTAACAAGTAATGAATAATTACACTATACTAGTCACACCGAACACGATATGGTGATACGTCATGATGGTAGAATTACGCACCACACAGTAGCAAGTAATGTTTAATTACACTATACTAGTTACAGGGAACACGATTTGGTGATACATCATGATCGTACAATTACGCACCACACAGTAGCAAGTGATGTTTAATTGTACTATACTAGTTACACGGAACACGATGTGGTGATATGTCATGGTGGTAGAATTACACATCACACAATAGCAAGTAATGATTAATTACACTATACTAGTGACACGGAACACGATATGGTGATACGTCATGATGGTAGAATTACGCACCACACGGTAACAAGTAATGTTTAATTACACTATACTAGTTACACGGAACACGATTTGGTGATACGTCATGATCGTATAATTACGCACCACAAGGTAACAAGTAATGTTGAATTACACTATAATTTGTACTAGTTACACGGAACACGATATGGTGATATGTCATGATGGTAGAACTACGCACCACACAGTAACAAATAATGTTTAAATTACACTATACTAGTTACACGGAACACGATGTGGTGATATGTCACGATGGTAGAATTACGCATCACACAGTAGCAAGTAATGTTTAATTACACTATATATACTAGTTACACGGAACACGATATGTTGATACGTCATGATTTTAGAACTACGCACCACACAGTAGCAAATAATGTTTAATTAAACTATACTAGTTACATTGAACACGATATTGTGATACGTCATGATGTTATAATTACGCCCCACACAGTAACAAGTAATGTTTAATTACACTATATATACTTGTTACACGGAACACGATATGGTGATACTTCATGATGTTATAATTACGCCCCACACAGTAACAAGTAATGTTTAATTACACTATACATTCCTACTAGTTACACGGAACACGATGTGGTGATACGTCATGATGGTAGAGTTACACACCACGCAGGATCAAGTAATGTTTAATTACACTATTATACTAGTTACACGGAACACGATATTGTGATATTTCATGGTCGTAGAATTACGCACCACACAGTAGCAAGTAATGTTTGATTACTACAAACGTCATGCACCATGAAGTAATGAGTCGTGATTGTTCAGCAATGTTGATTACGTAGTCCATATCACGATGCAGTATTATGTGACAGCGATATATAACAAGGGCCAAACTTGATTATGGAAATCGTGCGGTCCAGATTCGACCCCTCCCTCATTCGCTAAATGGCAAAAGGGTTGGTCAAGAGTTTCCGTCTTTGAGGCCTTCCGAATGTATGTTTATAAAGTTTGTTGCTGTAATGCCATAATTCATTTATATGCAAAAGTGACGTCAACTTCGCTCACGTCATAATGATACGTCATGGAGTATATTGACAAGTGATGTTAATTTCATCATATCGTATCCCGCAATGCGATCATTTGACACCCTGCCAAGACGTAATTTACTCAGAATCAAACAATTTGTCAAAGCTTCAGCTAAACTTATTTATCAGTAGAGTGAGATATGATCGGGCTGTAGTGACGACGCGGCATTTACGCTAATATAACTTACAACACATCATATACATTAGCGATGGAAGGAAACAGTGTCAATAACATCAGGTAAGTTACTATTGATAGTTGCATCACTTTATGAGGAAGGAGTAAGTTTTTATATCAGGGTGACGTAAGGCTGAATAGGACACTCTAAGATACATAGCCTTTGTATGCAGTCAGTAATTGAAAACAATACAGGGACTGGTATTCGTCGCACTGGCGTAAGGTGATACTGCACGGTCAATAACATAGCTAGTTAAATTACCGTAAATAGTTCTCGTCTGTGGAATTTTACAACAGGCAACCTTGTAAGACCCTGTGATCATTATGTCTTGCTTGTAGCTCACACAAAATGTATTGACCATCACTACATGCAGACACATGTAGAAGTGGTGCGTTAGGTAGAGAATAGGGAGGGAATGGTCAGGAGAGAGAAAAATAGATTGGGTGGGGCAAGGGACAAGCAGCCAAAATGTCTTTCATGCAGATTTGTTTTATTGTATCAAGGCCTCTGTGCTTGTAATCTCATGTATTTTTTTAAAAGAGAATACCAGACGTTAAAATCAACGCACTGAGATCAATTGTTCTAGGGTATGCTTGCCTCGAACTTTTTTCTGAAAATTACTCAAGTTTGGTGGACACGCCTAAATACACATGTCGAAGATAATAAATTGAAAATCATCTAACACAACAAACATATGTCGTGTTCATTGGGAGGCACATAGTTGCCATTCAGATATCATAGCATATCAATGAGTGAATTCGCTGACCTTTCCACATTCCGAAGAGAAAAAATTGTATTAACGACAGCTGTATGATTTCATTCGGCTCAGACGAAACCAATTTTAGAGTTAGAACTAATTACGACAGACGTCTCATATATCTAATACATTCATCTTGCGAACTCAGCGGAATATTGTCAAGATTTTTTAATTTTTTAAATTTGTATGTGTACCAGGACGTAGATGTTTCACTGGCAGAATGTATAATAGAGTCGATCAAATAATATGATTATGTAAATGTGCATGCGTTGATGCACATTCAATCAGTTGCAGTGATGGTGTTGATCGTGGCGAGCGTGTCTGAAGTTTGAGGCAACGATGTTACGAGTTTTCTACCCCTATTTACTACACATAATGTGTTGCTCCGAGTAAATGATTCTACTACGACGTGCACATTCTCATACAATACATATCCATTTTTAGTTGTAACCATTCATGTTAGTCACTACGTTTCAAAATTCTACAAAATTTAATTGCACAAATGGTTTACAAATAGATCAACTGCGCAACAACAAATATTTTGAAAAAAAAGTGTGTTAAAAAATCGGTAATACACAAGCAATCGCTAAATATGCACTTTACCATTGATGCTGCCCACTCTCGCAGTGTTGGCAATAATGTTGTACCTACTTCAATAATGAATAAAAACAACATTATATAAATAAACATTGAGCAACTTAAACTATCATGGCCTAGCACTTGGCTAACAACAAATCAAGAAGCGTGGCAGAAAGTGATATATATTTGTCATCCAACTATAATCTGTAATTATACTGAACGAGCCCTTGTCAAGAAAAATCGCTATCGCCTTTCAAAAAATGAATTCTTAATAGA